AAAAGTGTTGTATCAAGAAATATTATTTGCATTATGGAACAATTAAATATTAGGGATAAAATTGAAATGATTCGTTTAGTGGGTGATAACTATCTTCAAGCAGGAGAAGCTGCCAGAGAATTTAACAACAGACATCCCGACAGACCTGCAGTAAGTAGAAGCACGGTTCAACGAATAAATAGAGTTTTTAATGAAACTGGTTGTGTGTCAAAATACTTACTAAAAAACAGAAGGCCGGAACATTGAATAAATAGGCGGAATGAGGAAATATTAGAATATTTTCGTAACAATCCTCGTGCAAGCATTAGAGGCGCCAGTGTTGATTTGGATATACCAAGGGAAAATATTAGGAGATGTTTGCGAACTAATAAAGTTAAACCCTTTAAACCAAAGATTTTACACACTTTGGAAAACGGAGATGATGTTAGACGATTAGAATTCTGCTTATGGGCTCAAGCAGAGTATTTAAATAATAGAAATTTCTTAAAAGAAATTTTATTTAGTGATGAGGCAACATTTAGTACAAACGGAGTAGTATCCTCTCAAAATTCGCGATTCTGGGCAGTCGAAAACCCTGAATGGGTGATCAATACAAGAAGACAGTATTCTCAGAAATTAAATGTGTGGTGTGGCATACTTGATGATAGAATCATTGGTCCATATTTTTTTGAGAGAAATTTGAATAGTCCAACGTTTTTGAATTTTCTGATTAATGACTTTTGGGATGCAATACATAATTTACCATGCCAAACCCGTTTGAATTTAAAATTTCAATTGGACGGATCACCTGTGCATAACGCGGCAGTTGTCAGGGAATGGTTAAATGAAAATTTTGAAAATAAGTGGATAGGTCGAAATAGCCCGCTAATTGAGTGGCCACCGAGATCCCCGGACCTAACACCCCTTTATTTCTTTCTTTGGGGTTTCTTAAAGCAACAAGTTTACAAGTCTAGACCTCAATCTGTAGATGAATTACGTATTAGAATTACAGAGGCTTCTGCAAATATTACACCACAGCAGCTTAGGAATGTAACTGTTAATCTAAGAAAAAGATGCGACAAATGTATTGAACTGAATGAAGGGCTGGTAGAAGCAACTAGAATTATTTGAATATGTTTATCTTATTATTCGGTTATTGTGTTGCTTGTAGTATTTTTATCATTGTTTGTAATAAAACTCGTTGTCGTGGATTGTTTTTTTCAAGGGTTACTTGATAACTCATCGTTAAATTGGCAAAAATAGGGAATTATTTAATTTAACTGCAGAATTATTAATAATTAATAATTTTAAACGAAATTTGGTACAGAACTGTTTTGGGGAATGCCGAATGTAGGGGTGTACTCAAATTTTTTGAAAAAAAATCGCTAATATGATTTTGCAAATTTTTCACCACAAAAACTTTATTAAGTAGACCTTGTTTTTTTGTGAAATAACATGACATTGAGCCCTAAAGTACATTTTTTGAAACTTTATATTTGAAAAAAAAAAATCATCAAAATCGGACTATAAACACAGATTTTATGGAGGGTGCCCGGTCTTGAGTGGGTCACACTGTATATATATAATTTCAGCCCGATCCATTCATAAATAGAATTTTAAAAAATCAAAAACCTCAAAAATGCCGCCATTTTGACAGCTGTCAAAAATTCGGGTCATGCCTTACAAAAAAATGTATTGTCATCGGGACTGAACCTACATGCCAAATTTCAATCTCCTACAATAAAAGGAAGTGGTTTTAATTTAGCTTACAAGATTTGCCCCGAACAAACATACATACATACATAGATAGTTATATACAAAGCAAGTTAAATAAAAGCTTATAAAAATAGCCTCCAATGAGGAAACTAAATAAAAAAATGGTCACTTGGCATTAGCAAGCCTCCAAATAAGTAGTCTTCATCGTTTTGAAAAGCACTAAAGTGTGAATATACTTTTGAATTGAACATTAATTTTGAATTGAATTGAAAATTAAACAGACTATATTTTGAATTATTTCCATAATTATTTGTGCAACCAGCAGCCGCACATCCCGGAAAACCTTTTCCCATTCCATCAATAAAAATAAAATTGAAATAAAAGCACAAATACCTATGGTTAAATATAAGAAAAAAAATCGAATTAAAATCTTTCGTAATACGGCCCTACGCGCCACCGGTGGAGGCTATGCATCGACTGAATGAGGCTGACTGTCGGTCGCTTAATTCAGTTAGCGCATCGTCGGAGTGGGGCCTTTTAAATTCGAGCGTGGGAAAAATTGGCGAGTGTCAAAGCTATGTTATTCTGTAAGCTGTGCCCCGGCAACTAGGCGCATTTGGATTGTTCTAATGGCCAGTGGCGTATCGTTTTTTGGAACGAATTTAATTAGTAAAGTAATTAGTAATTTTTTTACTCCATATTAATATACTATATTTACACTTTTTCGTCAGATGACTTTTGTTAGAAGGTCTAATATAATAATATAATTAATATCCCACATATACTTATTTTGAAACGTTAGTAGTTTTCGAAAATCGCTCCAACGTCGATTTTCAATTTAAACTTTCAGCACAGTTTGAAGAATATAAATATTTTCAGTACTTCCTATACCTAAAATCAACTTCCTATACCTAAAATCAATATTTAATGAGAAAATTGTGTTTTTTTGAAAATATAAGACAAGATTTGACTTTCGTCCGCGACAGACCGTCCTTCGTGTTTTTTCAAGATCGGACGAACTCCGTCGGACGGAGCATACGCGCCCATATGAAATTGTTGTCTGAGGGGTAGGCAACTTTAATAATATTTTGAAGATATATAAATTCCCCATTGAACACCGGAAAAATATACTGGGTGTTCCATTTAAAATAAAGGAGTAACTTGCTTTTAAAAGTACTAATGTTCCATATTGTAATGAAGTTCGTTGATTTTTTTATTTAACCTGTTAAATGCTAGGCGTGAACATTAATAAAACACGGCACGATAGCGCGGAGTGAAAGTACTTCGCTGGTACACCGAAGGGCCCGGGTTCGATCCTGCCTTGGGACCTAACTTTTTTATTTTTTTATCGTTAATATTCTCATGGTAAATGTTTAAATATTTGTTTTTTTATCACCAGGACGGATAGCGTTTGTGGATTTATGAACCATACTGTATATAAGTAGAATTTGATATGTTCATTTGTTTTGAAGGATTATGGTAACAAATAATTCTTAGACAAGCTTAGTATGGTTTATTTTTATTTTTAGAACTGTTATGATAGTCTAAAACTGAAAAATACTTTTAATATTAAAAATTATTTGCTGATAAAATTGTGTTAAATATTTCGTCGATTTGCATGGAGACGTTGAAGTTTTTTTTTGGTACAAACAGCAAATGGTTTTTTGTAGGATCGACGGGTAAAAACCGTTTTTTTTTACTGTAAGGAATCTTGATGGGAGGTAGGACGATGGTAACCGAACGTGGTTCGTGGTTCCCGACGGGAAAGATTATTTAAGCGACGGGAGCGCGAAAACGGAGTTCTTCCTGTTGAGACTAAATACCGGTGATCTTTTCTAAGTAAACCTCGCGAGTCTGATCCGTTTTTTTATCAGCGCTGCTGTAAAAACCGAATTCTTGAGTTTTATAGTAAAAGTACCGTATCTCCGTTTTTGATTTTAAATAAGTATAAATCGTGGTCGCAGAGATTTGATTTAAAATAAGTCTAAACCGTATTTCTGATTTATGAGTATAGATAGTTAAAAACCGAGCATTTAAGTTTTTTTATACCCGACCGTGAATAGACAACCAGACCGTTTCGTTTTGATCCGACGCCGATTTTCTTAAGTTTTCTTTATACCTGACCGTGAATAATTAGTGTGCCTGGATTCCGGGCTGCTGTAGGCGATTCAGACAACCAGACCGTTTCGTTTGATCCGACGCCGATTTCCTTCAGAAAAAAAAGGTAATCGCATTCTTTTTTTTTGTAACCGCCAGATACCCCATTAGAGTTCTACTAATCGCAAATTTTAGTTTCAGCACAGTAGAGTTTTTATTTTATTTATATGGTATAAAATTCCTTTACGGAGGAGAAGTTAATTAAGGTTCCTCTTTTGTTTTACCATGATAATATTTCTTACGTATTTGATTTATTTAAAGATGCATGTGAATATGTATTGCTAGTATTTTCTATAATAATATTTCTTTACAGGTTTGAATTTAGATAATATGAACTTAATTATGTGCTATTGTAATTAACTGATTTAATTTCTCTGTATTAGATTTTGCGATATTTCCTGTTTTAATATTTTCTTCATATCTGATTTATTTGAAGATATTGGATTCGTAATTAATTTATTTAAATAAACCTCGTTATGGAATATATTCGACTTTAACTGGCGCTACCCGTATTGGCCGAGGTGGTCTCTCAAACACTTTAAACTTTGGGGGTGGCGCCCGAGAACAAAAAGACCGACTGTTAGGCGTTAGTAATAGCTCTCTAGGAAATAAGACTGTTACAATATTAATTTTGTCTCACCCTGTATAACTTTTCGGGTTAAATTTCAATTTGGTTTAACATACAATGGTTACTGTAATTAAATATCAGGCTATACAAGGTCAATTAAAATTTAGGTAGCTGTTATCGAAATTTAAAATTTACTCTTTATTTTCACAAAATGTGAAATATGTCAAAATCCTTAGATTTTAGGTATATGCTTCTTTAATAAAACTCATCTTTATTTTTTTCCATAGAATCCGAAAATCAATTAATATATAAGGTGTTTCATTAGAAAAAACACAACTTTGATGTGTAACTCTTTTTGGGAACACCCTGTATAATTCTACATATTTTTATAAAATGCTTTCAGTTAACCTACATATGCTGCCAAAATTTCATTTCGATATAAACTACCGTTCTCCTTGGAGCTTCCGCGGCGTATTAGAGGCGCCACCCTGTATATCCTTGCGCATAGGATAGACATTAAAATAAAACCATTTGGAAGAATTTAAATTTATTAATCTTATCAAGAGTATTTATTAGAATAGCTTAAGTGTGTAGTCTCTTCAGTACTTTCAGTAAAGGATGATATTTATACGAAGTTCATCAAACTCTCAAAGGCCGTAGCGATAACGCCTTTGGGTGCTCCAAAGACCAAATCTGGAAACATCGTAGCCATAGAAACAAGGGTTTTTACTGGTGCCATTATAGCTCCGATTACGGCAATAAAAGTGTTCAGTGGTTTCTGAATATTGCCCATGCCGGGGGGTAACCTGTTTGTCATAACTTTCAAGACACGTGTAAACTTGGAAACAAAACTATCGAGTATTTCGACGAGGGAGTTCACTGTGTCGGGATTTTTTGTAAATAGAGATTGTAGCCTATCTAGTACACCGATCATGAAATTCTGAACGGTTCTCAAGATCGTCTTTAACGTAGCACTGTCTTTTACTCTTTTTGCACTACTTAACGACGCGGTGCCGGCATCGCAAAGAATAATCGACTCACAAATCAACTGAAAAGAAAAAAAATCGTTGGTTAGATACTGAAATAGTTCATCTTTAAATGAAATAATCACATGTGAAGCAAAATAAAACACTAAATGACCACAATACACCAAAACACTTTTACTTTTACATTGGACGCGTGTTTCGCTAACCATGTTAGCATCATCAGCAGATGATTAAAACTAAACTACAATCTACAATTTGAGCGTTTATATACTCGCTCAGTGGGCACCAAGTGGGCGTGGCAAGCCCAAACCAACCGAGTCAGAGCCCACAGAGCGTAGCAGTTAGATTTCCGCCACTAGAGTAGTAGGAACAAAGAACTTTAAGGAATTGGACCGTTATCTCTGTTCATACTATCTTTACATTTATTAATTGTGATGCTTTCATATGCACCTAATTGCCTGTAATTTGAGATTTGTTTAATTAATTTTAAATTATTAAGATCCATACAATGTTCTTTATCAACAATATGTTCAGCAATGCAAGATTTATCCGGTCTACCATATCTAATCTGAGCTAAATGTTCTTTAAATCTAGTTAATATTGATCTTCTAGTTTGCCCAACATATTTCTGATTACATTCTTTACAAGAAATTTCATAAATACCTGACCTTTCCAGTGCAGGTGTTTTATCTTTTGTATTACCTAATAATTGTTGTAATTTATTATTAGCACTATACACAAGTTTATAATTGACATTCTTAAACATTCCTTTTAGACCACGGGATAACTCTCTGTCAAACGGTATTGAAAAATATTTTGACGTATCTTTCTACACTTGAAAAGTCGAATTTTCAGAAATCATTAACCTATACCTACGTTTTCTAATTATTTTATCAACTAGTGAAGGATGAACTAGTGAATCAACTAGTGAAATCCATTAAATTTCCGCTACATTCCTAATGTAATCTCTTTCTATTTCATATCTTTCGTTGGTAAGTGGAAAACTAAGTAATCTATGAGCTAAGAAGTTTAAACTAGCCATTTTATGTTCAACACTATGATATGATTCATTAGGGATATATCTGTGTGTAGTGGTATTTTTCCTAGATATCAAATTCCAGGCAATTATTAGTATTTCTAATAACTAATACACCTAAAAATGGTAATCTGTCGTTGTTCTCAATTTCATGTATAAATTTAATGGAAGGAAAACGATTATTTAACTTATTATTAGAAATAAAATTGTCTATGGTGTCTGAATGTGTGTCAAAAACAGCAAAAATATCATCCATATACCTAAACCATACTCTTGGAAGATACTCAAACTGATTCTTAGCCTCCACTTCAAACCTGCTCGTGAATAAATTAGCCAAAAATGGAAACAATGGATTACCCATTGCTGTACCTTCCCGCTGTTCAAAAAAGTTGCTATTAAATTGAAAACAATTTTGTTTCATACATAACGATATAAGCTCAATATATTCAATCACAATTTGGTTGTCGAGACCATTTTCGTTCAGTAATTGCTTCAAGTAACCTAAAGTATGTGGAATTGGAACACTTGGGAACAACGAAGATACATCATCGTGATTTAGTGTTTTATTTTGCTGTGTAACACCAAAGGTTCCAACCCCCAACTGTAATAATCACATGTCTCACGAAAACTTAAGATTTTATTCTGTTAAATAAAAATATATAGGGACAAAAATAGAGAAACGAAAAATTAATATAAAAATTGCAAGTCCATAGTTGTTGCTAACCTAATAAAATTAATAATGGGTAGAGTAACCGTGATTAGCTATAACTTCACGACTTCGCTTTGGCATGGAGTCCAATAGTTTCCTTATGGTATCTGGTCAATGGAATTGCAGGCCTCTTTCAAAATTCTTATCAAATCTTTTTTATTGCTAATGTGACTTCGTCTTACCCGGCGATCTAGTTCCTCCCACAGGTTTTCAATGGGTTTAAGGTCTGGACTTTAGGCAGGAAAGTCCATAACCCTAATTTGTTCAGACAAAAACCATTCTTGTAAGACTTTCGATTTATGCTTTGGATCATTATCTTGCTGAAATATCCAGGTTCAAGGAAAATTATCATCAGCAAACTGAGTCATCACTTTCTTTAAGATGTCCAAATACATAAATCGATCCATTGTTCCTTATGTTACATGCAGTGGTCTCATGCCATAGCCCGAGAAGCATCCCCACACCATGCAAGATCCACTACCATGCTTTACAGTGGCCTTGGTATACTTTGGATCAAATATTTTCCCTTCTGGGCGATGTATCCAGGATATGCCATCGGATTCAAATATATTTAATTTGCTTTCATCTGAAAACAGGACCTTTTTCCAGTCATTCGTCGATCAGTGCAAATATTTTTTTGGAAAAGTAAGTCGGGCCTTCTGATTCTTCTTACCGATGAGTGTTTTTTTGGCTGCTCTTCTGCTAAATAATCTTGCTTCCCTTAGTCTTCTTTGGATGGTTTTAGAACTTATATTGACAGCAGGTATTTCACTCAAAATTTGATTCTTATTGCTAATGTGACTTCGTCTTACCCGGCGATCTAGTTCCTCCCACAGGTTTTTTCAATGGGTTTAAGGTCTAGACTTTAGGCAGGAAAGTCCATAACCCTAATTTGTTCAGACAAAAACCATTCTTGTAAGACTTTCGATTTATGCTTTGGATCATTATCTTGCTGAAATATCCAGGTTAAAGGAAAATTATCATCAGCAAACTGAATCATCACTTTCTTTAAGATGTCCAAATACATAAATCGATCCATTGTTCCTTCTGTTACATGCAGTGGTCTCATGCCATAGCCCGAGAAGCATCCCCACACCATGCAAGGTCCACTACCATGCTTTACATTGGCCTTGGTATACTTTGGATCAAATATTTTCTCTTCTGGGCGATGTATCCACGATATGTCATCATATCCAAATATATTGAATTTGCTTTCATCTGACAACAGGACCTTTTTCAAGTCATTCGCAAATATTCTTTTGCAAAGGTAAGTCGGGCCTTCTGGTTCTTCTTACTGATGAGTGTTTTTTTGGCTGCTCTTCTGCTAAATAATCCTGCTTCCCCTAGCACTCTTGGATGGTCTTAGAGCTTATATTGACACCAGGTAGTTCACTCAAAATTTGATTTGCCGATTTATGCGCATTAGTTAATTTTTTTCGTTGTTTTCCTTGGCCGGCCACTTTTTTTAATAGTCTTTAAGGAATTGCGAGTTTTGAAATTGGAAATCGTTTGCCGTACACCATTCCGATGTGCGTTGGTTATTTTTTCGCGAAGATCCTCAGACAAATATTTTCCGCCTGGCATATTTAGTAAAAATGTAAATCAGAATATCAACAGTTTTCACCTTAAGCAAATAACTACTAAGTATGGTCAATTTTTATGCTGGTTTCTTTATTTATGTCCCTTCAAAAATATTTGTGTTCATATTGTAAATAAACACCTGATAAGATAAATTTGGAATATGACGAAAAATTATGGTATTGCTAAAAGGAAATATGTTTAAAACAAACATTATTTTAAATATTGGAGGTTTTATTTACGGGAAAAAGTTTCTCTACTTTTGTCTGATAGTGTAAATGTGTGTAGTGCTATAATTTGTAAATCTAATAACAATATTGAGGGTTATTTCTTGCCACAGATTATTGAAGTACATTTACCATCCGTTTCTTAGTTTTACAACTCGTTTGTAAAATCACTGTACACTGTAAATGAAAATGTCGTAAAATCACAACAAATATTGTTGGTTACTTTTGGCCACCAATTATTGTTGCAAAATTACAGCAATCTGTATTTTTCATACCCTGACATAAATGTATCGTATTTTATAGCACGTAAATTTACTTCTAAAATGCTGGGAAAATCCGAGTAGATTTGATGAAAGTATCATAGTAATATTACTGTTTTATGTACAGTGTGTCCCATTTTGGTTGTAATCATAGGGTATCTCCGTTATTAGTGAAGATAGAAGGGTGCGGTTTGCACAAACCTGTTCCACTTTTTCGTCAAACGGAAGATGCTGCAAACAAAAGTTTCATAGCCCACTTCATTTCTGAGCTACAGGGTCTTTTCAAAAATTTTGCAATTTGGGACACCCCCTGTATCTCTGTTATTGTTAAAGGTATCGAGAAGGCGAAAACTGCTTATTGTAGAACTTTTAACGTAGAATACAGTGGCGTAGTGTGTTTTTCTACCAAAAAAATATTTTTGAAAATATGAACTAGTTATGTTTTTTCAAATGGAACACCCTGTATATTTATAAATCATATGATCTGTCTTGCTACGAGCTTCTCAAACATATATATATATATATATATATATATATATATATATATATATATATATATATATATATATATATATATATATATATATATATATATATATATTATTATATTTACTGCAATATTTAAAATATATCATTTTCTTATTAGTAGGCCGTGATAAATAACAAAAAATCAAAATGGTATTTACTAAAATAGTCATACACATATTAAATTTATTTGGGATTGATATATTTTACTTTTGAAATAACTGTTACCACTGAAACTGTGAATATACATACATATTCTTTTTCTTATAACGGGATGGGTTTGCAAATATCTAAATCTTGAATTATGAAAGAATTTTTCAGGTGTTCGACATTGTTGTAGTGCCCACGATATATTTCGTATTTCAAAAATCCCCAAAATCAGAAATCGAGAACGGCGAAATCCGAGAATCGAGGAGGCTATCAATATGCGTTCATTGGTTCCAATTCATTGATTTGAAAAATAATAATTTAACAGTATTCTAATATTTCCATAGTTATGAGGGGGAATGTTCCCCATCTTGCTGAAAGTATATTTCACGTAAATTAGCTAAAGGAATATCTAAAATTTCCGATACGATAGATTATTCTTACGTATACACGTATTCCAAGATTTACAAATAGCGGTAGAGAGTTAAGTTTCCCTAATATATAAAGAATTTATTAGCGGCTCCCAAAATAAAACAAGAGACAGATAGCAGTATACTTTTAATAATTCTTTAGTTTCTTT